ACATCCAGTCTCGTAGCTTCTTACGTGCGGCGGTCCTCGCATTCCTCGGGCCGCCGGAATAAGGAATTCTTCTTCTTCATTTCTTTCAAAACCTTTCTATACGGTCGGTTGGGTAGAGTTCAGATTGGACAGCGGGCACAGCAGAACTTGGCGGACACTAACGAACACAAAAGAAAATTGGCGGACACACCCACGATTTGTAGGACCGCCGTTAATTAACCGACCGGAAAACGAGCTGGCAAATGCATTGATTTCGATGTGGTTCTTTCGTGTGTAGCACAAGTACTTTGGGCACGCTCTTGCTTTCGCAGCGTACCCTTCCCATCGTTGGAAGGAACAGCACAGCACCATAGTGGTTGGCAAACAAGAGGAGACATGAGTGCAGATATCAAGTATTCCGAGGTAAGGACAATCAGTAGGGCAAAGAAAGAAGGCTTACATTAACTTGATCAGTTTTGGAATTTTGAAAAGCTGCAAAGTTGTTTTCGTAGTTTTGAAATTTTCGCCCAAGTCTCCTTTCTTCATGAGCATGGAGCTCAATACTTGGGGTGTTTTTGGAGGACAGTATTGTACAATTCCAGGCCGTATTCTCACTCAGCCTCCGTATCTTTGTTGCAGCGCAAGAACGCGTTCAAGAAGACACTAGACGCCGATGAAGGTCGTCGACGCCGAGAAGAAACGACTCTTCAAATTCGAAAAACCAAAAAGGATGCTCGTTTGGCCAAACGACGACAAATGCCTTCTAGTGGAATGGGCGCACCAACACCTGCCGGTATGGCAGCTGCTAACATGCTGATGAATTCTGGTGACAGCACGTACTCCAATCTTCTTTCTGGGCAGCAACCAGGTGTCCCCCAACCTGGACGGGCCATCGCTGCTTCCAAACTCGAACAGCTGCCAGAAATGGTGCAAGGAGTCATGGGAAATGATCCTGCTGTGCAAACCGAGTGCACAACTCAATTTCGCCGATTGCTCAGTATCGAGAAGAACCCACCTATTCAACAAGTCATTGATGCCGGAGTTGTACCTCGTTTTGTTGAATTTCTCCAGCGGGATGACAACCCGGCTTTGCAATTTGAAGCTGCTTGGGCCCTTACCAATATTGCATCCGGAACTAGTGAGCACACAAAGGTGGTTATGGAAGTTGGCGCCGTTCCAATCTTCGTCCGCCTTCTCATGAGTCCCAACGACGATGTTCGTGAACAAGCTGTTTGGGCACTCGGAAATATTGCAGGTGACTCACCACCGTGTCGTGATCTTGTGCTTCAAGCTGGCGCCATGCAGCCTTTACTTCAGCAACTTCACCAGAATTCCAAGCTGTCAATGCTAAGGAATGCGACCTGGACACTTTCCAACTTTTGCCGTGGAAAGCCGCAGCCAGATTTTGAAATGGTCCGACCCGCTCTTCCTACTCTTTCCCAACTGATTTTCAGTCCAGACGAAGAGGTTTTGACTGATGCCTGTTGGGCTCTTTCCTATCTATCTGATGGCCCCAACGAGAAGATTCAAGCAGTCATTGAAGCTGGAGTTTGCCGTCGCCTAGTCGAACTCCTTCTCAACCCATCTCCCGCTGTTCAAACTCCTGCTCTTCGCACAGTCGGAAATATTGTTACAGGAAACGATCTTCAAACTCAATTCATCATCAATAACAATGCCCTTCCTTGTTTGCTGGCTCTTCTTTCCAGCCCTAAAAAAGGTATTCGAAAGGAAGCTTGCTGGACCATTTCCAATATTACAGCAGGAAACAAGGAGCAAATCCAAGCTGTCGTTGAAAATAACATCATCCCTCCGCTGATTCAATTGCTTACCAATGCCGAATTCGACATTAGGAAAGAAGCGGCTTGGGCCATTTCAAATGCGACTTCAGGTGGAAATAGCCAACAAATCAAATTCCTTGTCCAACAGGGTTGCATCCGACCACTCTGTGATCTATTGACCGTAAACGATCCCAAGATTGTTACCATCGCTCTTGAGGGCTTGGAGAATATCCTAAAGGTCGGGGAAGAAGAAGCGAAGGCAACCAATGCACAGAATCAAATGGCCGTATTCATCTCGGAAGCTGAGGGTTTGAACAAGATCGAAGACCTTCAACAACACTCCAACAATGATATCTACGAAAAGTGTATCAAGATTTTGGAGACTTACTTTGGTGTAGAGGAGGAGGAAGAAATGGCCGCTCTTGCGCCAACTATGGAGGGGCATACATTCGGATTTGGAATGGATCAGGGGCAACCAGCACCGGGTACCTTTGATTTCTCCAACTCTCAATAAGAAGTTGACAGCAGTCGAAACACATCAAAGAAATAGAAGATCATGGCCTTTTGTGAGCACAGCAAATACTGCTCTGGTTGCAAAAGCCCGTGATAACATCCCTCCGGCTGACCTGTGGCGACGGGGGAAGAACAATAGATTTTGTCATGTTGACTAGATCAACGGGCATTCCATTCTGGCAATCGTAAGCTCTTTCTCAAGGCGCAATGTAGCGACCAAGGCGCTTACTACTAGAATTATCAAAACTATGCTACTCGTCTTTCATATCAATTCTAAAATCTAGTTGGATCCGCCTCTTGCTAGTACCAGCCTACTACCGAAAACACGCATCGAACACCAATGTTACTCGCCGTCCGCTTTGTCCAGCGGTAAATGCTCTGTTTGGCAGGGATCTCCCCTGAAGTCTAACTAACACATGACCTAGTGCTTCCGAATCGTTGTCAGTATAACTGAACTCGACAATTGGAACAGGCGCAATATCTTCAGTCGATGTGCCGTCTTCGTCATAAAACTTAAAGACCCCACCACGCAAAATGTCCACATTCCAGTGAGGAATGTGGTTAGAGCTTGGAAACAATAAAGGGGATGCCGTGAAGTCATCGTATTTCCTCTCCTCGTTTTTTTTCTCACCCCACTCAGACTGAAGAGCGTCGCTTCTACTTGGAAGAACCAAACCAAGATTTTTCACAAGCCGTTCCATCACCGCAACGTACAAAGACATGTGATAGTCCCAATCAATGTTGGTGCGTATTGGCCATTGACTGCATCGATTTGTCCCGTCCTGACCTCGTATTCTGAGGATATGTGGATGCTTGGTTTCGTTCGAAGTGTCATTGTAGTTGTGAAACGACATTTCCACAATGTTCTGTCCATAGTCTTGCATTAGGGCATCAGCCATGTCAACGCAATGTTGCAACAGTTCCGGTGGCACTCCATGCCCAGTAAGCAATCCTGGAGAGCGCATTGTTCTCGCCATGGTGATAAATTCCTTCTTACCCCGCAAAAGACGCCGAGCTGCATCCGTCCCGCTAATGGATTGGGTCACACCGTGAGTATGAGCTACCTTCGCTGATGATCTGCAATATGAAAGGGGATCTAGAAGTGCGGAAGCATCTAGCGAAGCAATGGGAATCTTTGGCGACGATGATTGGTTGTCATCTCCATCTCGCCGACGCAAGTCGTACAAGAAGCCAGACTGCTGAAGAACTTCGGGTCTAGAGCCTTTCGAAGGAAAACCTGGTCGTTTCCACTCTTTTCGTCTGGGTTTCTTAAAACCATAATTCTTGTTTGCATGCTCACGTGGTCTGTCGCTTTCTGGTTGATCTTGGTTTAGCTTGTGCTTTCCACTTTTGTCCGCTGGGCTATTTGTCTTTTGTTGCCTGTGTGATGGAGGTCGCTTCGAAGCAAAGTTTCTGCCCAGTGGCATCGGGATAGTGGTTGAAGAAAATAACGGTGAATGAAAAGCAGTTTTCATCCTCCGACGACTTGTTCCGGCAAAATGGAGCGACATCATCTTCTGAGTTCGAATGTGGAGATGGAGTTTATACCAGCTGTACTATGATTACGAATACTGTAGAGTTTTGATGACGTACGAAGGACAATCAATGACAAAAGGGCTTGCAATAAACTCACACAACACACAATACAGTAAATCATCAACCCTGGGAACAAAAGACGGGCCACTTTGCAGATAATATCCAATGAATTTTTTTATAGGTGTAGTTTCATACCTTTCCATCGGCAAGATCGAAAGCTTGTTTCAATACCCAATAAAGGGCTTCGGCGGTTAGTACCATTGCATTTCGCTCAGCAGCTGCAAAATGAGACAGCTCTAACATTGTGCAATTTCACCCACCTATCCAGGAGAGGCGCTGCCTTTGGTGAAGCTGAAGCCATCGGCGACATTCCCAAACGATCGACAGTTTGCGCTCTTGAAAAAAAACGATGTCACAACATTCGACCCCGAGAACCCAGTGTGGCTGCACAAAGCAAATTTTCTATGCACGTTTACAAACCCTGAGCTGTTGTCCACCTATGAGATCTCAGTCTTCAAAGGAAATGAACGTCTCGATCTCGATCTTTTCGACCGGGCTTCAGGAGAGCAGGTATTGCCGACAATCAACATGTCCACTGAATGTGGAAGGCAATCATTTGCATCATTTTTCTCAGAGAAAGCCAACACTCCATTGACTTGCGTCACTGCTAAAAACCATCAGTTTGGGAATACATCGAGTAGTTGGAAACGTAAAAAGGATACAAGAACAGTCCATATCGTCAACAAAGCAACGGTCGAGGAGCTCTCAGAAGCTTTCGGGGTGAGGCTATATGCATCGAGATTTCGTCCAAATATTGTAGTCGATGGTCCACCGGCATGGTCCGAGTGGGACTGGATTGATAAAGAGATTCTTCTCGGTTCGGTGAAGATGAAGGTGATCTCAAAGACGGTTCGATGTGATGGTATCAGTGTTGATCCTCTAGACCATAAGAACGTCCTCGATATCCCAAACTTACTGGTGAAACATTTTCCACAACATGGGCCATATCTTGGTGTGTATGCTACTGTCGAGGAGGGGGGCACAATAAAATTGGAGGATGACTTGTCTATTACTTGAAAGACAGACTGCTTTTCTAATGCTAAACGTTGTATATTCATAGTGTAAACATTATACTTTAATTAAAATAGCATACAAGTCATGTTTGTCTTGTCTCGTTGTTAGTTTCCCAATGCTGACCATCGAAAGTTTGTTTTCAAATTCCTACAGGCGTATGCTGCGTCTGACCATGCGGTAGCAGACAATCCAATCTCATCTTTCTCGGGAAAGTAGAAATCAAGAGCTTTGGAGGTGTACTCAACAACGCCACGGAAGAGTCGATACGAAGTCAGGCCTTCGGGGAATTGAAAAGTCAGATAGGAGTCAAAATCATCTCTGTTTAGGCAGAGTTCAGATAACACCCTTCCATCGACATAGTCCAGAACTCTGCTTCTCTCAGTGATGGGTGCACTAAAGTCAACACCATAGTTTTGTTCTCTGAACACGTCTCTGTAGTCACAATCCCAGGTTCCAATTCGTTGACGCATTGTGTTCTCAAGATTCTCAAGGACGAGGACTTCGCTAGCGACAATCTGATTGGACAAAAAGTCGGTGATCTGAGAAAGGGAAGTGTCAATCCCAAGAGATGTCTCGTTCAAGAAGCCCAAAATAGAAACCAAATCGGAGTTGAGGTCTTGCAGTCTATCGTTCTCCTCTGTAAAGGAGTCCAATGTTGCTTGCAATTCCATAAGAGTCTCGTTCTGCTCCATTGTAAGGTTGCTGAGGTGATCTCGAATCGACTCCAAAGCTGTCGTCGTATTCGAAAGTGCATTGTTCTCCGAAACAAGATGTGCCAGCGTGATTCTCAATGACTCAACTTCTGCGGTCAAGTACAGCGCAGTAGAATTCAGATTGGAATTGAGGTCCGCGTAGTCCTGGTTTTGACTTGTCAGCTCAGTGACTTCTTCTGTAAGGGCTTGGTTCGTTTCGCTCAAGGAATCTGACACGCTTTCGAGTTCAACTACCGATGAATTAAGACTGACTGTCAGATTTGATAGCTCGCCAACTGTATCATTAAGCTGTACATTGAGAGCTGCGTATCGATCGTTCTCGTAACTCAATCTAGTTATTTCATTCGATAGATGGTTGACTTGCATTTCCAATTTCTCAATCTCCTCGTTTAGTGCGGGAATTCCTAGCCAGCCATTTAGCAAGTATGCCGCTAAACGAGTGAAGCAAGATTACGTTAAGTTGTTTCCATTCAGAATACTCGAGGTCTCATAATATTGTAAACTCACCTGCGCCAGCAGCGACAAGAAATAAAATGGTTATGCTCAGAACTGGCTTCGAGATTCCCCAAAGAATATCAGCACTGATGCCTTTCCGTCCTTTTGATGATTTCACGTGATGCTCAAAGGAAATCTTTTGTGGCTTGGATGGTGAAAAAAGCATCGGATCAGCAGAATCAAATGTTGAAGGGGACGATAGTGTGGTTTCGAAGGTATCTGCGCGGGATAGCTCATCATGGTGTGAGAGCTCATCATGGTTATGATGCAGAGGAGAGTCCAAAACCTTTGTCGGCGTTTTTGTTGGAGTCCTACTAAAGTGGTGCTCAATGCCGTCTCCTTCTTCTAGGTCTGGATCTGTTTCTCTCCACATGTTTGCTGTTGCTATTGATGATGATGAGTACAGTTGTTATTTCTTGTTCTGCAAAAGAAAATTTATTGTACTGACTTCCGATTGATTTGTTGAAAAAATTCAGCGTTGTCACTTTTGGGAATGCGGGATTGAGACGATGGTTGTTATATGCATGTGTGCACGACTGCGCCTCTAAATACCTTTCAATGAGCGACGAAAGTAAAACATATTCATATTGAGTATCTACATAACTAAAACTAAGTACGTACCTTTTGGAAAGGAAGAATGAACAGACAAAAATACTCTTGGTACAGATAAGGATACAGATACCGGTGACCCGTGTACAATCACTATCTACAGTAGTTATTGATGATCGACTATTTTATCATTATTACCTACTGTACCCGCCTTGTATGATTCAAGAGTAAGTAAGTTTGATTCATCCGTTACGTCTGCTGGTCGTACGTAAACGAATATAGTGAAAGGGGCACCATGAGGAAGTTGAAGCAGGAGTACCTGGTACTGGTACCTGGTACGCGTACGTGTACCTGTACCGTGGTCGTTGAAGCAAGAGTAAAGGCTGAAGACACTCTTCGTATGTCCCGCTTATCGTATAATCGTATTATCGCTGAGCGGCGCGCCTCACAGTCGACTCGACGGCTCTCAAGACCCTGCTGTCTTACTTCTTGCCGACCGAGTATCGCACTTCATGCTCTTGTCTCTACCATCGCAATCGTCAATCGCCTCGGTTCACAGCTACAGTCTTGTGGTCCCCCCCCCCCCCCCCCCCCCCCCCCCCCCCCCCCCTCCC